AGAATTACATTCTTTGCTTCAAAAGGGTTTAATAAAACCTTCACAATCTCCCTGGTCATGTACTGCATTTTATGTTAATAATGCAGCTGAAAAAGAACGTGGCGTCCCGAGATTAGTAATAAACTATAAGCCACTTAATAAAGTTTTAAAATGGATAAGATATCCTATACCTAATAAAAAAGATTTATTATCAAAATTATATAATGCCAACATATTTTCTAAATTCGATTTAAAATCTGGATATTGGCAAATTCAAATAAATCCTGAGCATACTTATAGAACTGCTTTTAATGTGCCTATAGGACAATTTGAATGGAATGTGATGCCATTCGGATTTAAAAATGCTCCTTCTGAATTTCAGAAAATCATGAATGATATATTTATTCATTATATGGATTTTATAATTGTTTACATTGATGATATCTTAGTATTCTCTGATAATATTGAACAACATTTTAAACATCTTAATATATTAAAGGATGTTATTTTACGGAATGGCTTAGTAATATCTAAACCAAAGATGCTTTTGTTTCAACATAATATAAGATTTCTTGGGCATCAAATAAGTCAAGGGAAAATAACCCCTATTCAACGATCAATTGAATTTTCTTCTAAATTTCCTGATGTTTTCACTGAGAAAATTCAACTCCAGAGATTTCTAGGAAGTTTAAATTATATTTCACCATACTATAAGAATTTACAGAAAGATTTAGCAATTCTATATGATTTGCTTAAAAAATCAATTAAATTTGATTGAATGAAAAAGCATACTCAATTAGTTAAGCAAATAAAAGAAAAAGTAAAAACTCTACCATGTTTAACATTAGCAAATCCAAATTGGAAAAAGATAATAGAAACTGATGCTAGTAGCATAGGATTCGGTGGAATCTTGAAACAGATTAACCCTCATGATAATAATGAATATCTTATTAGATATCATTCGGTAAATGGACGAACCTCAAAAGAAATATGCAATCGTTGCACAAGAATTTCTTGCTATTGTAAAATGTGTATTAAAATTCCAAGATGATTTATTTAATCAGTCGTTTGTCATTCACACTGATGCACTTGCTATTAAACACATGATTTATAAAGATTATAAGCATGATTCTTCAAAGCAAATATATGCCCGATGGCAGGCTAATTTAGCCCCTTTTGATTTTGAAATTTTATATAAAAAAGGTAGTGATAATTCTTTACCTGATTTTTTATCACGTGAATATTTGCAGGATGGAGTGGCCACAAGTTAATTATCTTAAACCACTATCCGTAATACATATTGCTTATAATAAGATTGTTGCTGAATATAAGCATTGTAGAACGGAATATATTTTTGCGAAGCATAGACTAAATCACTTTTACGAGTTCGTAATACAATTCTTGATTGTCTTTGATGAATTTACTTCACCACAACAGATAACATCTGTTTCAGAAGACCTTGAATTTGTCTATGACATGATAGAAGACTTCACTGAAAGATTAACTGAAAGTGAAGAAAGGTTGAATTATTGTAAAGCAAAATTATCATTAATAATTCTCTAATTTTACAGGATTATGTATCCGCCCGATAGAGGACGCGGCCCTAATAGAGGTCGTGGAGGAAGAGCAATAAACCCTGTAATACAACATGGGAATAAAAAGCTAATAGCTGCTGATTTTTCAAAATCTCAGGAGGAATCCTCCTCATCGAATGCGAAATTGGTCCAAATAATGGATTTTATTCAGAATGATTCTGCATTATATAAGCAGATTATGGATCATATCCAAGAGCAACAAAGTGATACCTTTGCTGCCAAAGTAAGTGACACCGACTGTGATGATATCCGGTCATATGAAAAGGATCCACAAAGGAGGTAATATTCCTTCTTGAAAACGCTGATATTCAAGTGGAAAAATGATCCATGGGTAATATTCAAGATATCTAGCGAAAGGGTAATGATACCGGGTGAGTCATACAAACCTGAAATTATTATGAGAATATTCTCAAACAAACATGTGAAATAACACATTTTCAGGTCTAATCGACTACAATCAAGTTTATAACTTCTCAAAAATTATTATCAAAAAGATTTTATCTTCTGAGGAATGGGGAATTTCAACCCTTTCTGAAAGAGAAGTACGTAATACTCCTACTTCTCCTCCTTTGAAATTTACTTACTGGGATTATATTCAAAGTTTTTACAAAACTTTTTATTATGAAAACCCCAGAAAAAAGCATACTTGGTTCATTAAAATATGCTCCCATGTATATTCTTCTCCCATGTATATTCTTCTCCCATACCCAATTGGTTTATTCAGTGGTGGGCATTATATGGCCCAACAGCAAAAATTTTGCCAGATAATTTTTCAAAATTATATTATCAATGGTTAAAATCCTCCCCTATCATTGATAAACTTCAACACAGTCATATCTGTGCTCCAGGAAAAATCACTCTGTTATACTTCTTTATTGAATTCTCGATTCCTTGGATTTATAAATGGGTCCCTGAGGTGGGATTCAATGAATTTCAAATTCCGTGTCTTTATAAGACATATTATACCAAATTTTGGGATAAATTAACAAAGATGAATCACAATACCAAAAGAATGGAAGGACAAGATTTGCTGGACGAAATTGCCCGAAAATCAAGGAATATACTCAAGACAAAGAACAGACTCAAAGCAAACCTGGATGAAGAAAGTCCGTTCAAACACATCACAAAACGGATTCAGCTTCAGCAAGGAGCAATTAATAAGGAAGAGATAATATCCGCCTATATGAAAGAAGTTAAAGCAGATCTCATGAGAAATTTAAAGAATCTCGACAATGATGATATTTCGAAAAATCGATGTTTCGATGAAGAGTATAACGTCCAATGAAGAAAATTCTTTTGCAGTATTGGTAGGAGAATCTCATCACCGAAAAAGATGACGATCACGATGAATTCATCAAAAAGTCACATTGCAGATTCAAGAAACAAATTCAATCACCAAAGGAAAAGAAAAGAATGAAATGACAAAAGTAGGAATCTACTTTTGAAATTTAATACAAGTGGACCCCACCATCACCAAATCGAAGAAAAACATGTCAAATAATGACAAGAATTAATAATTTTTTGTAAAATAGTATTTAGAAATGTCTATAAATAGAAGGTAGAAGCTCATTTGGAGGGCATCATTCTCTCCAAGTATTCTCTCTTTTCTTCTTCCTTTTTCTCAAAATTCTCTCTCTACCTTGTAAAGAAATCATTTAGTAAATATATCCTGCAAGTTTGAAGAATAGAAGAAGTTTTTAAAGGTAATTTTTTCTTTTAAGTTTGTTTTAATTTATAGTTTGAAGTACTCAAACAATGTCTGAGTAAATAGTTTGTCTGAATCAAACATTTGGCTTTTGTTTACATAAATTATACATGGAAGCTCTATCTCCTTCTTCTCTTTTAATTAAAATACGATGATTTGAGATTGGTTCCGATTCCGAGTTCAGTCGGAAAACTCAACAATAAGTGCATTGGGCCTGGAAAAGTACCCGTTATGATGAATTGTTTAAGGGGAAAAAGAGGCCACATGATGCACAATAAGTTGTGGATTCCAGACAGGCTTAAGAGTTGGGTGAAACTTTTCCATGCATCTCGATTATTGATATTTTAATTAAGGATGGATAGAGATTTTGATCCTGTAGCTGGCTGACATGGCATAGCTCCCGGATGAATGGTATCAGCCAGGTGGTGGTTTGGATTCCGGCCTGGTTTCCTTGCTAGTCTGTTTGCCTGGTCTTACCGGCTAAGATAAGCACTGGCCAAGGCCCCAGCCCCACGCCAATGAATAGCTAAGATAAGCACTGGCCAAGGCCCTAGCCCCACGCCAATGAATGAGTTAATTGGGCCTTGTTTTTAGAACATGAGATATAAAATGAAATATTTTTGCAATAAAACTGATGTCCAAAAAAAGCATAAGTATCTCATATTCAAGAAATGTGTTTTAATTTTTCCACGAGGATTACTCATTTTTTCGGTTAGGATAAGAACTAATTTTGTAAATTACCTTAATTTTCAATTTTATGTGATTAAATATATCCTAAATCTGACATCACGTAAATCAATTGGCGTACTGACAAGCTCGAGTCAAGACACAGACTATCATCATAAACAAATAACCTAACAAAATAATGGTGTTTTTGTTTTTTAAAACAATGTATTCTCTAACAAATTACAGTAAAAACTCTAGAAATTAGTAATATTAAGTCCACAAAAATTTATTATATATAGAGATTATTATTTTTATTGATAAATTAATAATTACTTTTTTATCGATAAATTAATATTTTTTTAATTTGAAGGGTTTTTTTTTTCAATTCTATTAAAACACAAATGCTGAACTTCAACTCTACTTCTTCATGTATTTATGACTCTATCATTTTTAATTACTGGTTGGAGAGAAAATCAAAGATAAAATTCTCTTAGATATAAATTTCAAGAAAAAACAAAACTTAATAGCCTCTTACTTTTATAAAACTTTTTTTTCTTTTTCTTAAACATTTAATTTATGAATTTTAGGGAACATATATTTATATAAAAAATTTTCAAAAATTTATTATTTTTCAATTTAACGATTTTATTTAATTTTTATACTGATTTCGAGTTGGATCGGATAAAATACTTATAGAGTATTAATTTAAGGGATTTTTAATGTATGTATGTATCATGGTAAAACAAATTATATATGCTTGGTCCGGATCAAGAAATCAGACAAGGGGGCGGAGAAAAAAATATCCAAAAAAGTCAGCAGATGGGTTCAAGTTCAACTCTCTGTTTGGCTTTAAAAGCATTGTGTACATGAGCCACGTATACTTTCCTTTTGGTTTTAAAACGGCCCCACCCTTTTGCCATTCTAAGTTCCTTTTTGTTTTGTTTGCTTCTCCAAAAATTTTTCAGTTTCATCCGTTACCTAAAAAGAAAAACAAAACAAAAACACATTCTCATTTCATTATCACAAAAAGGAACTTTTCCATACAAAACACATTGATGTCAACTTCTTCTTCTGAAGAAGAAGCTGAAGGCGGAAGAGATGGCGGTGGAGGAGGCGGCGGCGGTGCTGAGACCGGAAGAGCTTCGACTTCTCGCATACGACGGCGATTCGGCAACCGGGTTTGGCCTGCTCCTTTCCTTGAAGCACTTGCTGCTCAAGTTACCATTGATGCTTCCCTTTCCAATGGCCGTGTTTCTGCCGCTCCTTCTCTCTGCAGCCTTTTTCAGGTCATACTTTCTTTTACTTTCCCATTCTTGTTTGTTTATGATCCCTTTTCGATCGTATAAAAACTTCTTTTTTGGTTTAATCCGATAGTTTCAAAACATACCCCTGAAAAAAGAAAAATGCATGAAAATGTGATTCTATAAACACATTTTTGGGTTATTAGCATATTGGTTGGATGGATGAATGAGAAGAGTAATGTAGGTCACTTGAGATTTCTCGTTTTGGTTCCTTTTTTTTACCTTCTATTTTGGGGCTGAGCCTTTTTGATTCTACAGTTATTTCCATATTTCCTGTGAAGAAAAAGGGTTTTTTTTCTTTTTCTTTTTCGGAAAAAGAAAAATATGAAGTCCTTTATATGTATTTGATTGCATGGGATATTGATTAATTTTGTACTTCGCTTGTGCTCTGGAAATGCCAAAACTTTTTGAGTTTTGACTGAGCTTTCAAAACTCAGTCTTCTAAATGTTTGATGGAGACAGTTGATGCATCCTTTTTGACTCCATGGTTGTGTAAGAAAGTGTTCATAATCAATACCAACATTACCAAAAAAATAAAAATAAAAAATAAAAAGAATAATATATATATAAATAATCAAAACCACCATTTTAGCAAAATCACCATTTTATCCATATTTTTTTCAATGTACTCACTCCTCTATCTCATTTTAAAAAATTACTTAGAACAAAGTGAATTTATAAATTGAGATGATAAAAATATAACAATAACAAGAGAATGGAAAGTAAAGTAAAATAACACAGCATCTCTGTAAAGGCTGTTGCAACATACCCCTTCAAAAAATATTTTTGCAGGCTATGAAAGCATGCCTATAGCAAGTTGGCTGTTTAGCAAATGGAACTAGGGATTTCTATATCTAGTTTGCATTTATTTGTTTCATGGTAACCAGATTCACTTTTCATGGTATTATATTATTTGTTTAAAACAGCTTTTTGGTTATCTGGGCTGGTGAATTATATTGGTTTTTTAATTCTCGCATGCTAATACAATAATGCTTGTTTGGACATTAAGCATTTGACGATTGCAGAATCTATTGTATGTTTGAGAGAGGGTGTGTTTTAAGTTTCGTTTTTGTCGGGTACAACACTTTTTCTCTTCTTCTCCAATTAAAAAACATTTATAAAAAAAATTATTGTTTTCATTCTTCGTATTATGAGAATATATGGCATGTTGGATTTGTAATAATGTGCCTTTTTGAGGAAACACAATTAGGGGGAAGGAATTTTTGATCGATTCCACTTGAGAATAATAGGACACCAAATCTATGGATGTTGATAGACAATGATGTTGTTTTTCTTTCTTGGATTTGGAATTGGATATAATAAAATATTATTTCTCCATGCATAATGCCTCTATCATTCTGTCTCATTCATCCATGTAACACACAAAAGGGTATTTGGTCAAAGTTGATTTCTGCACAAATGAGAAGAGATTGTGAGTTGAGATTATATTAAAGTTTAAACCCCGATAACCGAGACTTAATGAATAAAGAGGAAAAATAGTCAAATCAAAAAAAAAAAAAATCACAAGCCCCACAAAACCGAAACCAAAACCAAAAACCCTGAAAACACAAGTTGGAATACAGATCATTAACAAGTTACTACTATGTGACTGAAGACTGCGAGTGTGTCTCCTCCACTCCTCTTCGAGTCTTTTGTAGATACGTAGCTGTTGTTCACTGTTGCATTAAGGAGGCAGAGTCAAAAGGGACCTTTCTTTTTTTTTTTTTTTTTTTGGGCAAAGAAAGTCTTTGAAGTGAAGAAGATTCGTCGTCGTTGCTTTTCAAAGAGAGTAGTCAGGCAGGCCTTCCTTTCTTCACCCCCTCTTTTCTTGGAAATGAAAGAGAGAGATAGAAAGAAAAAAAAAAAAAAACGAAAGAGATAGATAAGTAGGTCATATAGGGTGGTGGTGGGTAAAAGCATAAAATGTATGTTGTGTGGTATTATAATCCGATGTTTATATGGGGTGATCTTTACTTGCTCGGACACATTCTCCGATCCAAAGTCAGTCTCTGTGTGTGTGGACCAAATAAAACCTCTCTTGTCTTATTTATAATATGTGGGCAAGTGCCTACTTACCTAGGTTTTTTTAGTAGACTCGTAGGCTCCCATGCATGGTGTATAGTAAGCAGCTCGTCTTTTCTTGCAACTCTTACCGGTTGTATATATTTTCTTCATATACCTCAAGGAAATAAGAATATAACACAAATGCACGCAGTTGAAGGATAAAAACTCATCCATCGTTAACTAGATATTTAAAATTCGTTATACATTCTATTGTTGGTATTAGGAATGAACAACAAGAACTTAAAACCCTCATTTGGGAAGAAGACACAATTCAAAAGACAACAGATATAAATAGAAAATTTTATTCTTTTCGTCCCTTAAATACTACAATAATTTTGTTATATCGGATTACTTTTTATCTACGAACGTAATAGGCAAACAGCTAATAATAAATGTAATGGTGTGTGGTTTTGGGGTAATGTGTGGGGTGTACTTTATGTACCTTATCTTAATGGCTTTTATGTAGGAAGATGTCAGTCTTTTTTGACATAGTAAGGAGGAGATATCTATCATCTGTATTGTGACGCTCAGAGAGAGAGAGAGAGAGAGAATATAGTAGTACTACAAACGAATGAAAATATGGGGCTGTAATTTTTACAAGTCTTTCTACTTCTTTCTTTCTTCTCTGATGTCTCCTTCTGTGTTAAGACAGGACGAATTTAATTCTTTGGTCATCAGAGACCTGAAAAAAAAAAGAACTAGTCTTCCCTGGAGACAGTGTAGTAGTGTACATGCCTAATTTCTTTCTCTCTTACTAGTAGACCTCTGATTCTTCCTTCAGTCTTCTTCCTCCTCTCATCTCATATTTTTCTCTCTCACACACACACGCAGTAACATATATAGCACCTACAGCTCACATACTTGTATCTATATACACACTGCCCTTTGCAGTTTTGCAGTTGCACTTTTTTTAAGCTTTCCTGTCCAAATAAAAGCTCAACTTCTCTTTCTGATCTTTTTTTTTGGGTTTTTTTTGTGTTTTTGTTTTCCTGCTATCTTCTTTTGTTTGCATGCCCGATCCTTCTTCCCTAGCAGGATAGCACCTACCATGACTTTGTTTTTGTTTTTTTTTTCCTTTTCCAACTCCAAGCATTTGTTGCAGCAGCTTTGAATGAAATATAGTTCCGGGTTCTAGTTGCTCTTTGTTTGTTGAGAGGGTGGGAGTATTATTCATTATGAGATTGAATGGCTAATTAATTTACACGCATTCTATTCACATTTATGTTGTTTTTGGAGCCTGTGTTGTCGAACTGTCACAATCCAAAAGATGATTTTAACATTTTTTATTTTTAATATAATTTACCGTAACAGTGAAAATTCAATCTAAACAATTATTTTAGAACGAAAAAGTATATGAATAATTCCCCTATTAATTTTAAAAATCAAATGTTGTTACCTCGGACCCTCGTTTTTTGTATGTCTTTCATTTTTATATTAACTTCCAACATTTGCTTCCATTTTTTCATAAATATCGTTCTAAGATATTGTAAAACGTTCTCTACTTTTGTTGCCCCATTCTGGGGAACGAAAAGTATTCTTTTCATCTTTTCTCCCATTAATGTTGGAACTTGGAACAAATTGAAGTCTCAAGTTACTGACTGAAAGAAGTCTTGTTTTGTTTTCGGTTTAGATACTAGGTTTGAGTTTGTCAAAACCCCCAAAAAACATATACTTTTACTTTTATTCCACAAAAATAATCTGCTTAATAATTTGAAAATTATATTAATAGAAATAAAATTCATAATTTATAATGTAGATTTTTTTTAGGACAAAAAAAATGCAATGAAGTGTACTAAAAGTATGAAAATATCAGTTTTAACTCAAAAAAAGAAAGAAAGTATATTTTGATATTTATAGATTTAATTTAGACTCTTTAATAGTTCTCATTTTTTACCACCTCAAGTTTTTGAACTCGTGTTCTTTGAAAAGGAACGAAAACAAATAGAGGGAGCTTACCTAAAATGACTATAACCCCGAACAAATGGTTCCCTGCTCAGGCTATCGAGAGCTTTATTATTTTGGCTCGAATATAAATCAGTGATTTTAATATGGATCAGGTATAATATACAAAAAATAATATTATATATATATATATTCTCTCCGTTAAATTTTAGTTTTCATTTCTAATTCAAATTGTGATAAAAATTCAATTTAAACAACCATTCTAGGACAGGGCACAAATTTTGTATCGAAATATAAATTGTATATTCAGAACTTCAATAGCAAGACTTTGGATATTGTTAGCTAGAATAGAAAGTCTCATTCCCCAACAACAAAGTCTAGCAATTTGGACGTATCTTTTTATCATTATGACATACAACACTTTTATCGCATGAGAAACATAGCTTCTGTTAATAATAGCAGTCCTTTAAAAGAAGTGAAAAGAAAAATATTTCCGTTCATTGACTATATTGATTATTTCATGAAGAACCTACGCTACTAAAGAAAAATCAACAAATATTGCTTCAAATTTTTGTAGAACATTGTCACTGTTTGTGTGTGTGTTTTTGTTTTTTTGGCTGATATTGTTTAATCAAACCGCTTGCAGGTTTGTTCAACATGGAGAGCAGTATCAAGATCCGATCTCTTATGGCAGAACTTAACAAGACGAATCTGGAACAGAAGTCACCTTCTTCTACCAATGCAGAACTCATGGCGTGAAGAGTTCATCTTTTGGCATCGCACCACACAAAACTTCCGCCTCCATAGATACATTTACACCACCCTTCAAATCCCTCCGCCACTGGACAATAATGATAACAACGACGGCCTATCTTGTCGACGTCTAGCCCTATCCGATCACTACATCGCCGCGGGTTTATCCAACGGTTCTGTTTCCGTGTTCCATTTACCTAGTAGGGTTCACTTGTCCATATTCTACCCTCACCATCGCGACCGCCTCGGCCGCTTTTCCATCTCAGTTTCCGGCATCATTTTGTCCGATGCACAGCTCGTTTTCGCCTCCCTAGACGGAGACATTCATGTCGCAATCATCAACGGGCCAAACGCCACGCGACGAGCACATTTAGGTGATGTTGTCAATGATGGAGCTTTGGTAGACTTCACTGGGTGTAACCGCTGGTGGGTTGGCCTCTATGCAGGTGAGCCTTTTACTAAATCCGAAGCATTATTTTGATGATTATTTCCTAATGCATGATAAATTGTATTACTATATAACAAGCATAAATCATTTAAAACAATTCACGGATTTTATTATTTGTGACGTTTTATAATCGGTCGTTGCATTTTTCGCACGTCTAGGAGTCCCTGGTCGAGCATTTCGTGTATGGAATAGCGAAACAGAAGAGTTAGTCTTTGTGGGCGGCTCGCTAACCGATCCGGAAGCGGTAATGGGGTGGCACTTGCTCACCGAGCAGTTGAGCGGTTTCGTAGGGAGAATTCGTGTGACGAGCCACGAAACCGCCATGACTTGCACGAGCGTGCGAGTCATGGTATTCGACCTGCGAAACCAAGGCGTAATCCTAGGGGAAGAAGAGTTCCATCGCGAGATCGTCGTAGGGTGCGTGGACGCGAGAGACGAGTTGTTTCTGGTGGTCGATAGCCGCGGCGTGGCGAGCGTGCGGCGAATCGGGACGTTGGAAGAGGTGTGTAGGTTTATGGCGAGAGGCGTGTCGTCGCAAAGAGGAGGGGATGTTTTAGGGTGCATCAACGGCGGATTCGCGGTGATCTTCGCGGCGGGTGTAATTAGGGTTTGGGACAGAGAGCGAGGGGAAAACTTGTACAGTTTTAGGGAGCGAATAGGGAGCGCTAGCGCTTTGGTGGCAGATGAAAGATATGTGGCTGGCTGTTCTAATGATGGTACGATTCATTTGTGGGACTTTGGAGCTCAATAGTATTGAGCTGGAGCCATGCATGAAGTTAATTGAGGTGCAGTTTTGTTAGTCTTCCCCCTCCCTTTTAGAAAAAAGAAATTGTCATTTTTTCGAAAAGAATTGATGAAGAAAAAAGGTCTAATTGTGCTTATTTTGTATAGTGGTGTTCTGGTAACGTTTTCCTGTTTAACCCAGCATGTAGAATTACATTACAGAATCTTTTTTATCATCCACGTTATAATGTCTAAATCCAATTTTCTGAGCTTACCGGAAGAAAACAAAGATAGATATAAGATACACATACGTAATCTTAAAAACGTGAAAACCAAAAGAGAATACTGTTCGAGTATAAAAAAAAAATTATATTTTGAAAATTTTACCAATAATTAATTTTCTGTAACATATACAAGTATCACATAATACATTTCCAATTTGTAGAGTTCAAAGTTTTTAACAGACAGAAACTAATTACTATTTTTGTCCATTACCAATAAACATGATTCAAAGTTGTTAATTTATCGATAAATTAAAAAAAAAATTACCGATCTGTTTTCATTTCTCGTGGGGAAAAGATTGAAAATCTTTAACAAAAAGAAAAGGAAAACTGGTTTATAATAATCTTTTACCGCGCTTTAGTTGCTATTATAAACTTTCTTTTAGATTTAACTTTGGACTGTCTTTGGCATTATTTAAGCAGTTTCATGCTTATGATAATGAGAAAGATATGAAACCTCCATAGATACACGTCTCAACCGGAAAAAGATAAATAATTGTATATTTTTAAAATGATTTATTTTTATGTAATTATTAGTTTATGAAATCGATAGGACTTTATATGTTCATATAGAATTTTTAAAATTATTATCTTATAGATTAATTAAATTTCTTGGTTTTTAATACTGATCTTGTGTTGGGATCAAAATAAACTATTATTTATAGAATTTTGTTAATTTAATAGAGGTTGCATTTGGTTTGGGGAGGAAATTTTTCTTAAGACCGAATGAAAAGGGCAAAGGTCAAGTGAGATCAAACAATTGGCCGAAGTAGCTAGCTTCAGCCATTAAAATAATCAAAGTAGAAAGTACGGTAAATATAAATTATCCAAAGTGCTACTACAACTATATTTAGATTATAAGGACAAAAGATACATATAATTCTTCTCAGTTGACGTTTTCCATTCTTTAACTATGATTTTGTAGTGACGCGTAGCACATTAACGATAAAGTAAATCATGGACTACATATACGTTTTTAATACTCAACCAATCTTAAAGACTTAAATGACGAAAACAGTTCTTCATGTATTTTTCAAATTTTCATTTATCTATGACCTTCACTCGTTTGGCTGGGTTGGGCAGACTGATAAATTGATGGTGGATAGATAATGATATTTGTAATCTTTATTTATTTTATTAAGAAAAAAAATTCTTCCTGCAAAATTAGTATACATTATTATTTGTAAGTTGTATTAAAAATGATATAATTTACAGATTACAATGTGAACTATTTTTTTTGGACGGAGAGAGTATCCTTTTTCAATTTTTAATGCATTACATTACATTTTCAACAACTTTTTTCATAAAATTACTACTAGTATTACTATACTATATAATTATAATTGAGAAATATTCATTTCAATAGTCCTTCCCTGTTTCCCATCTTTGATAATCTTCCATTATTAAATTTCTCTTTTACTTTCATTTCCTAAGATTAATAAAATTTATCACTAATTATTACGTGAATGTGAACGACAAAAAATAATCATTTCTAATAGTTTTAATTTTTGTAAATTTCTTTTCCTCTCTTCTTTGAATTCAATGTTTTCATTAATGAAGATTGTTCCACAACTTAAAAGAAAATAGTAAGAGATTTGTACTAAAATTAGAATAAATCACAAAACTCAAACTAGACTATTTTTTTATTTTTTATTTTTCGGGAGAAAGGAGATAAAATTTATGAATACATAATTCTCAATGGTAAGAACTTTGCCACTTTCTCAAAATATTTGCCCCCAACACTTCTTAATCTCTCTCTCTCACAAGTTTATTGAGGCCAATCATTATTTTATGGTCATACGTTAAGTGCTCATTCAGGATTCGCTAGCAACATTTTGGCCAGTGGAACAGGTACTAAACCCAAATCAAAATAAATCATTTCCTGGTCCAGTTACTCAGCCATTGAATCCATATCAAAAGCAGCCAACACATTTGTGAGGCCTATAATTAGTCAACTGAACCCAAACTAAAGCCATGAGCCCGCAGATTTGCTACCCCTTATTATTTATCCTCAGACGTGAAAAATGAGGTAAACGTACGGGTTTTTAGAATTTTGTCAAACAATGAAGTGATGAACAACCAAGTGGAGTCAAAATCTCCTATTTGGGAATAATTATTGTAACAAAACAAGATTCTTGCAGTTAAATTTGAAAGACGAATTCTGAAATTACGACTGAGTTATCATTGATTCATTACTTAATGTAGAGACTAAAGGATTAATTCGTGCTCAAAGGTAGTTATTTCACCACTTTTTTCTGTAAGAAGTCTTCATAATTTTTTTATTTATATGCCAATGGAGATCTTCAGTTATTATGATATAATTTTAGACTTTTTAACCTCCACAATGATGTAATTTGAAAACGTCTTGTGTTCAACAGTTCAAGGAGTTACAAAGCGATCAAAGAGCGTGCGTGACTATTGTTGTTTTGCGCCAGAAGAAGTATCACAACACAATCATAAATAGTGGTAACATGCTTCAATTTGAGTAGTAAACTGTAACATAGCTTTTACCATTCAATCTAACAAATTAAAAGAAAACTAGTAAAACAGAAATGCCAACAAGATTCTCGAGCCAAAAGTACTCATGATGATTGGCCGCTCCATCTAGCGGAAGCACCAGTACAGTGCAAAATAGCTGAGTAGACGACCATAATAACATAGGTACACAACAGACAGAGCTGTAATTAACATGACAAATGTTCATGTAAAACAAGCAGTTAATACAGAGTTGGGAATACAAGTTGCTCCATAAATCAGAGCTAGCTTAAACAATAGGGAAACACATTCATGACGGATCGGTTTTGATCCTCCCACCTATCTAAATCTGAAAAGAACTGACCTTGGATTTGTATTAAATCTATACATTGTTTAGTCTCAACTCTTCAACTTTGTTAGAATAATCAATAAAGGGGGACCTCTAACCTTGATGTACGCCCTTCTTGCTCCATGTTTCTAAGAAACACGCCTGCGTAGAAGCAACCCGAAAAAATTCCTGTTGACTAGGCAAGTCCCTAAGCCAGTACGAATCAGTCTCAGGCTGTTGAACCTTAGTAGGATTATTGCTGCCTTCTAGTTGAATAGACTATCCACATCAAATTTTAGGCCATTCTCCAGAGTCACAGAAAAATTGTTTATTTGATCAAGGGGTTCCCCATGACTGCTGCTTCCGGGGAGACAAGAATCATTTGATACTCCAACTTCTACTCCAGTTTGAGGAAGACTCTCTTCCTTTTGCCTTTCTTGCACTAGTTGAAGTAGCTCATCAGGGGTCGCAGCAGGATCAAGATCCCAACAACCATCAGGCAAGTTAAACGTGTCTCCTTTAAGTAAACAAGAAGGCACCTGGTGTGAAAACCGTAGCATCTCCCTTCGCGGGATCCACCTGATAGCTTCTTTACTGTCATTCCTTCGATATACAGTCTTGAAACCCTCCAATTTAAGTAGAGGAGCCACACAGACACCAATATCTTCTGAATAGTCACCAAGTACCTCGACCATCTCATATTGATGTCTCACTTCAGCTGGCGTAGTACGGTTCCAATCAGATGACCAATTTCGATATACAGCCCAAATATCTCCACTTCTAGGGTAAATTCTTATGCACCCTCCCCTTCCAGCTTTCTCCTTACTCAGCAGATGGGAAAAAATATTGACCTGCTCAACAATTTCAGCATTGAAAGCCCTAAAATTTCCACAAGATTTTGTAAATCCAGAATCCAACCAGTTCACAGCCCCAAATTCAGTGTCAGTTCTTGAGCTCAGGTAGCTGATGTGAACCTTAAAAGGCTTAACTGAGATAATTTGGCGGATCAGACAATACAACCGTGGCATACCATCCTCTTCATCGTACAAAGCCCATACCTGTTTCGGCTTGAAACACTCTTCAGATCGGTCCTTGTCAAAATCATGAAAGTCCGAGTCAGGGACTGTTATGGACAAGGAACCCGCTCTTTTTGGCTCTGCTTGATGACCTAGACCACCTGAAACAGCTTTACTAGGTGTGAGAGCAAGTTTCTCTTGTTCAGCCTCTGCCTTTTTCTTCTTTTCAGCTTCAGCAGCAGCAGCTTCTGAAGCCAATTTGATCTCTTTGAGTTTCTGACGGATGACTGTTCTAGCTTTATCGATCAACAATTGTCTTGCATCAAATGCAGGAGCAGCAGAACACCGCTTTACTGATGTGTCAGCCGGAGCTACAGGCTTAGGATTAGGTTTTGGACCTCCATTTGCGTTTGAAACTCTCACTTCTGCAGAGGCCCTTGCAAAATCCATATTCCCACTACTGCAAGTGCTTCCTGGATCAAACTTTCTCTTCTTATAAGGTCTGGAAACCTTGGTTGCAGGTGGCTCAGTATTAGCAGAAAACCCATTTGGGACATCAACCATTGCATTCTTCTTCTTATGACGTTTCCCATTAGACACAGTTACAGTTGCCTGTCCATTTACCTGAGGAGCCACATCAGTGAATATCGAAATTCCATTAGGATCTGAAACTCCAGAAGAATTACCAGTAAAGGACGCCCACTGAAATGATATGTTAGAGACATACTCCGATCCATGTCCAGAATGATGTCCGGAGATCCCATTCCCTGAACAATAGGCAGTTGCTGATGGGATGTATTGAACCCCACATCCATGACTTGTATATCCATTGTCGGGAACAAATGACCAAGGGCAATAAGGAAAAGAACCGTTAACAGGAGCTACACCAGTTTCAACAGCAACAAAAACACCTCGGCAGTTCTTACAAGAAAGTTTCTTGTTCACATATTTCCGGAGATATTCATACTGAACATGACAAGAGGTGCAAACAGTCCAAAATGTATCAAGTCTCTGATGGGAAGTAGAGGATTTAGAATAATTGTCATACCCACTGACCCCAGTAGTATGAGTAGTAATGTAGTTTCTCTTGTTATCATAAAGAGCCCTCTTGTTACTATCAGACAAGACCGTCCATGCTTCAGAAACAAGCTTGAACGCTCCATCAGCACCCACAGTTTTATTCTTGTCAGGGTGAAGCAACACAGCCATCTTCTTGTATTGTTTCTTCAACTTGGCCTTTTCTACGGATGGATTCAACCCAAGAATTGCATAAAAATCGAACTCCCCATTGATTTTTGCCTCTGAAGCAGTATAAACTCCAAATGTTGCAACCATTTGAGATATGCCCTCTAATTCCGGGCACAGCATTTGAGCCTTCAAAGCATAATTTCTAGCACCTGCATAATCCCTCTCGATAAAACGCTTCTCAGCATATGCTTTAATAGAAAGTGCTTCTTCCAAGTTTGTCTCCATAAGAAAATTCAAGGATTCAATGTGAGCACAGACAACAGCTACAACATGATGTCAATGTCAATCACCAGCGTCCAACCGAATAGACAACTCTGCAACTATTGGATGAATCTAATAAGTTTACCAGCCATTCTAATCAGTTCAAAGCTAATAAGAAAGCATGAGCAAGTGACTGCAAAAAATTGCAATTCCAATTTCACAAGCAAGCCTATCCATTACAACCTAACCTGATTCGGGTTCCTATTTACCCATAAAACTACAACCAGATTAGAAACTTCAATACTGAAATGCAGTTGGGCACTGCTTCCAGAGTACTATAATCGACAAGTCCAGCAATGATCAAATTCCACAATGAAACTACAAGACACTGATGTGAAGTGAAAATCCTAGCTCATTCCAAGCGCTAAAAGATCAACGTCTTTCCTTTTGATTATCAGCGTAACCCAGAAAGCTCAAATCTTTAAAATTTGCAAATACAAATAGAGTAAATTACCTTCCACAAAAATTTCTTTCGGTCAAAGGATTTCAAAGTTATTTCAAATCTGAAGTCAAAAGCAGAACAAATCTGGCAACTAGAACCGTGAATGCTGTATCCAAGCACTACTATGCAACTGAGATTGAACTTAATATTAGACAACAAAACAACAAGATCGGAGCCAAAACCAGCCAAAAGATCATAACTTTCCATCAATCGAAACCTATACCTTCACTCCTTCAGCTCAAAAAAAACCACTGAAATGGACAGTAATTAAATAATTTAGAGCTAAGACAAAGTTAAGGGATTTAAGTGAACTTACTAAAATTTGATTCTCACTGAGAAATGAAGCAGACCCAGATGCCAAAAACCGATCTTGATCCTCAAATTTGATTCAGATCTTGAACAAATCTAAGAAACCTTAAAGGCCATAACTAGAAAGCATCTTCCAGGGAGAAAAAAATACAAATATATCAGGAAAGGTTTTTAATTGAAGTAAAAATCAGGAGGTGATTCACAATATTCTTGGAATTTCGGGGGGACCCAAGATTCCGGCAAGTAACGGCGGCGATGGCTGGAAATATTCCGTCAAAAAAACGCCGACCAGAAAAAACTGTTGCTTTATTACAGTAAGAACAGACATATACCCCAATCTATATATTAAAGGTCCAAATAGAGTTTATTTATGTGATGAAGTTAGTTTGATTTTTGTAATAAAAAATATTTATAATTACTTTTTCAGCCCAAAAATAATAACATTATTTTTTTATGGTAAAGGACTATCTCTCAATTATATTAAAGTGTACAGAATATTACTTACAAAAGTTAAAGTATGGTTCAATTTATCATAACAAAATTTGCAAACAAAGTTATCTTTTACTAACTTCTTTAATAAATTAAATTAATTATATAAATTTGGAATTGTGTTTATATTGATAACTGCTAATGAGAAAAGTAAGATGTGTAATTACTTTATCAAATTTCCATTTAATTTCCCATTTTATACTTTACAACTAACATTTATACATAATTTACTCTGCTTTTCTGAAGTAAATCTTTGGTCATTTTTATTTTACTGCATGACTTTTAACACCTTACCTTTATTTTTCATCTTCATTTCTCTGAGCAAATAGCAATTTAAACAAATTTAAAACAACCTTTCTATGCACATATAAAGTTTGAGGATATCACTGTCTCTTCACATTTGGAAATAATATATTTTTAAACACTCCAAACCCTAAAATTTCATTTGATTGGAGAATAAAGAATAGTCCTGACTTCTAATCACTAATTTATATTATCATTGTGGTAAATTATCATTATGTCCTCCCATGGAATAAAATTTACATGATTACGCTACAGAAAAAATTAATTTGACCCTTTACTGTTTATGAATTGAAAATTTGATTACAGTATAGAGCCCACACCTGGTGGAGATATTTTCCCATAATTTCTCCAAGCTTTTTTTAATTAAAAAAATCATTCACTTTTTTCAATATAAAGACGCAAGCTAACATAACATTTATAATTGTAAATATTTTAATTCAGAAAAGAAAGTATATATATTCTTTTTAAACCTTCATTGTTCAATCTTATCAGCTAACAGCTAATTAAAGGTGTGGGAAAAAATAAAGCTCAATCACAATTCTTCATACTCTTTTTTGTACAAAGAAAGAGACAAATAACTCAAAACTAAAACACATTTTGTTGATAAATACTGAGTACATTGTGTTTAGTCATTGTCTAGTTACATTTACGCATATGAGTTATTCAAAGTTGGAACCCTATAAAAGATGATGCAAGGCAAACCAAAAGAAGTCCATCGTTACAAAATTTGACTCTCGATAAACATACTTCAAATGACAAATGATTTCCGACGAAAAATTAAAAAAAAGTTCCTAAATACCTGAAGTAAAATTTTTATGATTTCTCAAATTCTCTACTCCTTGTCATTAACACAACTCGATAACTATCCACTTCTAGTGATCCTTTATAACACCCCAAACACTTGCTAACAAGTATCATCATTAGAACAGTTAATCGAGTATCATGGATGAAAGGTGTTGTGGTTTTACGACTGATCATTATGATTATATTGTTACAAGAGGAGTTGCGTTCTGTAACATTACAAACTCAGAGCTATGAGTTTTAATTCAAAAACTACTTATTTTGGTGGTTTGAGACTCTTGGGATGGTCGAGTGATTGTAAAAGTTGACAGTGGATGTGTAATGGATGGGGACAGAGATTTCTATCAAGTTCATTTTACATCGGTCCTTATAGGCTTTTTAAAATTTAAGGCAACTGCAATATTCATTTTTACTTCGTGGAAAACTTGAATTTACATGTTCGAAAAAGATTAAATTTGAATATGAATTTCAAATTTTTTGTCAAACTCGAGCTCAAACACCTAATTGTTTAGAGTTGACTCGGTTCGTTAACCACCCTAAATTCGAGCAAGAGGCATACATAGTCTTCCCGATTTAATCACCCCCTCGCCATCATATATATAACCCGTGTACTAGGCCAAGTGTTTCAAATTTCGTGAATTATAAATAATCAAAAAGAGGTTCCTCTAGCTTCAATATCAGACTAAAAAGAGAGTGACCAAAGCTGGAAACCTAGAAGACCAATATTCCTTAACATATTGATGCATACATTACTATTATACCATTATTATCAAAAAATCAACACAACATATATACTTGCTGGCTAGGATTAAGCTAATGATCACTCCTGGAGTAACTCTAGCAGCAAACTCGAAGAAAAGCAAGAGATGAGATCTTTATAATCATGTTAGGCTGTAGCTTTGTAATTACAAGCAAATCAAAGAGTTCAAACTTGCAGATTCCACCAACAACAAGGCTGAAAAAAACTAGAAGCAAATCACCTGCTGAAACCGAGAGGGCGTGGATCAGTTATATACTTCCTCCGTCCCAGAAAAATAGTTCAATTTAAAAATGTACAACTTTTTTAATTTAGTCAACACACCAAATGTACAATTCATTTTATGCCTCTAACTTCCACTAATCCCCTTCTAGTTATTTTTATAAAAGTTAACTACATATACATTTATTTTACAACTTAAATTTGATCAAAAAAAAAATAATGACAATAGATCTTGTTGGAAAGATCTCGTTATGTAGATTAATTTGATATGTAACACATTTTTTTAATTATTCATGTATTAAAAGATATAATCATTTGAAAAAATGGGAAAAAACTAAAAAAATGAAAATCAAAAGAAGTGTATTTTGTTTTCCTTACCACTATTCTTTTAGATATTTAATTCATTTCAATTTAATTAATTTTGACGTTTGTGAAACTGGATTACTTTTTTAAAGACAAATTTTTTTATTAAATTAGACTATTTTTGTGGGACGGAGGGAGTATTATTCAAGACTAGTAATTAAATCTATGGATCAAAGAAACCAAAATGTCCATGGATAAAATCATCTTAGAAATCTAGAGAACGTAAATAATTCATCATTCTAAAATCCTATCATGAACTTAAACATAAATATTCTAACTCGAATTAATTGAATCCCATCTTCCTCGTTGTTGAGCCATCTTGAGGAAAACTCTGAGGAACCATGGTCTGAGTGGAAGTGCCACGGTAGTTGAACCCAAAATCAGGATTAACCATACCAAAAGATCCAAGATTTTCACCATTCCAATGGCTAAACCCAAGAGAAGAATTATCAGGAGCAAATACCCTGTCATAATCAGGACAACAGAACTGAATTGGTTCTGGTTGCAGTATAACATCACTGAAATTCCTTCCCAATGGAGCCATACCCTGTTTCCAACCAATGTATGAATCATTGTCATGATTAATTAAACTAGCAGTTGTAGTACTACCAACATAATTTTGTTCATTGTTTGGCATCATCCTCTTCATAGTCGAATGACCCGAATCAAACCCATTCTGAATTCCGTTCCACATACCATAATCTCCCCTGTTTCTGCAATTTTCGTTGATCTGTTGATAAGAATACCCCAATTGTAACCCCTGTTCCTTCACATCCACATCAATTAAGTTGGTTTCATCAACCTGAAGAACATGATCAGTTTGTTCGGGTGAGATTTCCTCGGCCGGATTCCGGCTATTGACGTAATTTTTGAGAATGCTTGTGACTTGAGATTGATCTTCAGGCCAAACAACTTCAAGATCACCTTCAGCTGAACGAACCATCACCAGGACTGGTACATCACAGAGAGTCGAAAGCTCCTCTGCTTTCTTCTTCAACCCATCTTTTCTTCTCCTGAAAACCTCCATATACTTCTTTGGATCCTGTGATGATGATAATGGCTGCTTCTTCTTCGTCGTTCCTTCACTGTCTTGATTTCTCGGACGACGACCCATTATTATTGCTCTGTGCTCAGACAGTGTTCTGGGATTTTCCGACAGGGTAGATTGTTGTAAGAAAGAAAGCGTATGGCAAAAAATATGTGTATATAGATGTCTTCTCCTTATATGGCAAAATTGTTTTAACAAAGGTAATTTCCCAAAAAAATTCCCTGATTGTTAGTTTGCTTTTTAAAGGTAATTTCCCCCCAAAAAAATTTCCTAATTGTTAGTTTTCTTGCTTAAAAAAGAAAAATTCAAATTGCTCTTGTTACCTCTTTTTAGGTCAGACTTTCCCAAAATTTCTCGTCTTTCCTCAGTTCCTGAATTAAGTAAATATTAGCATTGCTGCATGACGCAAACACATAAATTCATATTTTACTAAATTTTTCAAACTTATTTTGTTTTATTCTAGATTGCTAGGAGTAACGCTATTTATAGGGAAAAAAATATTTTTGAAATTTATTATCTTATAATCATTTTATTGATTGTCTTTATTTTCTTGTACTAATTTTGGGTTGGAACAGGAAAATTATTATTTAATAAAAGCTATATATTTCTCAAAGTGTTAATTTGGAGAAATGTAAAAGCATGATGGATCATTCACCCTCTGAGGATTAATTGATGGAAACTACGTAAAGGGGGAGTTCATAGTAAAGTTTAACTATTATTCTTCAAAGACTTTGGCCAACCATTTGATCTCAACACAAACATTTGCCATGGTTTAAATTAGATTCTGATCCACTAAATTGTTTGATGTTCTACTAAACTTCAGTAAAAGCAATTTACTATGAATTAAAACAATTTGGGTTTACTAAAGGAAATTAATTAATCTGAGAAATGTCTTATGAGAAAGATCTTATTAATGCGTAGATATAGTTGGCAATACTTCCGGGACTGATATATTCCCATTGTAGACCGTAGAGACACTAAGATAATATGATTCTTTTACAAACTAATGTCGTAAAAGAACTAACAAATGGCCCAAAGAACCAACAAAACAAATCCATATTTACAGCCTAACATAAAGCCCAGCAAACAAAAAACAAATAGCCGTATTTACAATACCATTCGATGATCCACCCAACAAAAAACAACTACACTTTACAGTTATGTTATTCTTTCTACTTCATAGTTATACTACAATAAATACTCTATAATAAATTAATAATGTATCCGTGTTAGACAAAAATTTACTTATTATTTTATCAATAAATTAATAATTTTTATTTTATCACTAAAAATAACACAAATACGGATAAAATTAATAAAAAGTAAAAAATAAATTGTTTTATTATTTTTACATATTTTTGGGGTTATTTTCATAATTTTTAAAAATTATTGAAAACAGAAATCCGTTAAGTTGGACGGAAATTGGTCCATTAAATGGAATTGGCGAAAATTTAAAACATATATAGAACAAGATTGACTAACTAAAAATTTATGGAGTAAAACTAACGAAAAAGGTAAAATTTTGAATAGGACCGTCAATTTTTCCTTTCACAAGAGCTCGATGGGGTTGGCTGTCGGAGATGGAAGACCAATTCGTTCGATTTTTGTTTCTTTATTATTCATGATCAAGTTTACTCAATGATAATCAATTCATCTGTTTTGTTCTTTTAATTATTTGTGCAAAAGTGATTCAAGTGACTTAAACAAAAAGTACAACCACAATTTGTTTTTTCTAATTAAAAGATCATGCAAGAATTTGCTCAATGTGACTGATAAGTGTGATACAAATCTTTGAACAAAATCAGGAAAAAAGAAAAAAGAAAGAAGAAAAAGAAGTGTATACACAAGTACATCGTCCCAAATATTGATAGAGAGCATAAGCGATCGTATAATGAATTGGTGCACCAAATGTGGCTTCATCCCGTACGCGTCCAATTTCTTTTTTCTCCTGTTCCTTTTTCCCCAAACGGTCCCCTTCACCCCGACTAATGGTTCACTGTGTGAAGTATTCCAAGTGCTTCCGGTGATGAGCCAAAAAGGTATCTTTAGCAAGGAATTGTAGGAAGCTTTTGCATTTTGATGTGATCGAAGTAGCCTTCGGTAACCGGAGCAATTCCGACATAGAGGTTATGAAGAGTACTGTTTGGTCAAAAAACAATGAGGAGTTCTATTGAGTGGGAGAAGCACCAGTACTACTGACTGTGTGCCCGAAAATGAGACGCCCAGCGGCAAGATGGGAAACCACCGGTTTATATAAACTACCATATATAAGCTCAAAAAGATTACCTCAAGTAGTTGAGAGAATTCATTGATAGAGGTTGGTGGCGGCAGCAGCAGCATTAATGGGTGTTTGTTGAAAATTAAATTGATCGATTGATGGATGACTCCCTCCCTTTACCATCCCATGTAGTACAAACTACAAAACATGATGCATCCTGTCCGAATTACATTTACTTAGATTTCTATTTTAACCTCAAAATTTTAGCAATAATTATATTGTGTTTTCAGAAAATTACTACTATCATCGAAGTTACTCTATTCATCTAAAAGAAAATAATTCACTTTGTAACTTTTTCTTTTGAAGAACTATATTCGTTTAAAAAAAAATTATTTGTATGAGTAAGTAATTATTCATCATCTAGTATCATTTATTTTATTTATTATACCATACATTTTTTAATGGTGTTTAAACTCACCAATTTTGATTGATACATATATACATATAGGTTGGGTTGCCTGAGAGACTACCCGTGATGTGCGAGTGGAATGTCCTCATTGTATGCATTGAAACCCAAAAAGGCGCATCTACAGCTTATGAATCATTCCAAAAGGCCTAGTTTTGTTTGTCCAGACATGAGTAACAAGTCAAAAACTCCATTAAGTCACAAGCTCACATGATGATCCGTTATAAAACTCATTGAAAATATGGATTACTCCAACCGTAACCAAAATAATTTTCTAATTTTGTGTATTGTGATTTTTAGTGTACCAAATAGGTAAAAATTAATAATTTTGATAATTAAAGTTGTAAATATTTTTTGATAATTACCAAATTAATTAACCTAATGCACGATGCACTCGTGTTTATCTACAACTTTTTGCAAGTCTCAAAATAAAAAATAAGTACTCGGAGGGAGTATTAACTTAACCAAAACAAAAGTTTAAATACTGGATTTTTCACTTTTTTTAAAAAAAGTTTGGTTGCAACAATGACTTAATGCATGTAAGGGGAAAAAAACAAAAAGAAGAGAGAAAAAGAAAGGAGCTCCTTAATTAAAATTAAATGAAAGAATAAATTGAATAATAAGTAGTAGCTGGTATTGATTCAGCCTCCTGAACAAATTGGCAACATAAAAAAGAAAAAGAAAAAAAAATAATGTAACTTGTATTCTAAAAACAAATAAATTTCTTATTCCCTCTTAATTAGTTTTCATAACGTATAAATAAATTATTAAAAAGAAAAAGAAAAGGAAATAACCGTGGAAAATACCCCCAGTTATCGTCCGTCCATGCAGTGAATTTTCTCCGGTCACTCAGAAAAATTATTACGATCAAGCATTCAGGGCTTTGCAAAGAAACATGAGCGACAGCGCCGACGATTCACCTCCGCCACCGCCGCCGCCGCCGCCGCTGATCAGCACTCTCTCGTAATAATCCACACAAAACAAAGACAAGGCCAGCTCCACCTCGCGCCGAGTCCAGACTCGCCTAACCAGCTCCAACTCACCGCCGGCGCCGGCGCCGCCGCATCTTCCTCTCACCCTCTTGAACCTCTTCAGCGTATTCATCACCGGTCTGACACAAACCATGTACAGCCTCTTGTACCCGCCGAGCGCCGCCACCACCGTCTTCTCCGCCGCCGTGGGAGGCGAGGCTTGGAAGAAGCAGAGGTGCTCCCAGAGGGAATCGTTCCGGGATATGGCACACCATAGCTGGCAAACGCAGGCGGCGACGGCGAGAGAACGGCCGTCCAATCTCTTCAGTATTTCGATCAGGACGTCGATGTTATCGTTGACGCAGAATTTAAATTTTTTCTCCGCATTTTCGGCCATGGATTCCACCGCCTCTTCCGTATCATGACCTTGAAATTGAACCATTTTTTCTACATGGAGATGCAGAAGAAAAAAAAAAAATCAATAAAAATGAGGTTTATTTTTGCTGTGAAAAAATAGTGAAAATAGCGGGCGTATATATAAGAAGAGAAAATTTCCATGAAACTAATAAAAAATTGTGGGACCGTTACTCTGTTTGTTTGATTTTCCAGTTTTGATATTCCAAAATTCAAAAGCCACACATGCACAAAGGTCAAAGTGGAGTAGTAGTAAATAAATGAATGAATGCACCCCTTGAACCAATTATTGTTATATATGTCCAAGACCCTTTTAAAGCGGTTTAACTCGTTCTAACCAGCAATCGGATGTTCATTTCGTCCTTGTTTAGTTTAAATTTTTATTTTTAATTTAAATTATGTTAAAATTAAAAATTTAATTTCGACATTTATTTTAAGACTGAAGAAGTATTAACTGTAACTTTCAACGGTTCAAAAAAGAAAAAGTCAGAATTTCATTAAAACTAATATCGTGTAAAAAGGAGACTTTATTCATGACACTAAACATATACGAAAGTTGGAGTTCTAAGTAACTTTTGTGGTGATAATTCATAATAAACCAATTAATCACACTTAAGACTTTAATTTTTCTTCGTAATTTCAGAAAACAAATTCACCCCAGAAACTTGTTTACTGGTTTACCCCATGACGAGGAAGAGATTTGACATAGTAGTAGTTTGCGGGTGGGGAGAATAGAGAGAGAGAGAGAGAGAGAGTATCGAGAGAAGAAAGAAGAAGCCAAGAGAAAAATTCCAAGGCAAAAAAATACTAAAAGGAAAGGTCTTGGATTAAAATATAAAATAAACTCCAAGAGTTTTTATTCATTTATTATTTATTTTTCTTTGGGATAAGTAAAAACGTTGTTTGTTGTTTTTGTTGTTTGCGTACTTCTTCTCCTCTTCTATGAGTGAGGGTAATTCTTTTTCTCTTCAGAATAAGATGTCCGTTATGACTTGTGATCGATCGACTGATGGTGAAAGTCATAGATGAACGTTGGGAGAGGCATTGAGTTTTGTGAGATTTGGTTGTATTCTTCTTCTTATTATTTCTGGTTTGTCAACTTGTTGTAGGAATAAATGGAGTTGATCTGTTTTACATTTTGTGCAGCATTATTTCATTAATTAATTTTATCTTATAAGTCAAAAAGATGTGATTTTCAAGTCAATCAATCGTTGTAATAGATTTTTCTTACAAAAGTAATTGTACCCAGAAAAAAAAAAAAAAACTCTAAAGACCATCCTATTTATTAAACGTTAAGTTCAACGAAATAAAATTTACTGCGAATGAAGAGTTGGTTCAGTAGTAAAATTACCCTTACTCAAGAGAAGCTCATGAGTTTAATCCCTCACTCCAATAAAAAGTGAGAGATTGGCTTTCACTTTATCTATTGACACCTCTAAGAGCATGTTATGGCTAATTTACAAATAAACTCCCGATTTCGCACTCGAGCTTGTAACCCCGGACTTGCCAATGGTGGTTTACCTCTCACTGTGGTTTGCAGACTATTACAGTGGGCGTGGGTTTACCCATTTCTGGTGGGGTTCCCGGCGTTAAAAAAAAAAAAAAAAAAAAAAACTCTATTGATCGAGTTGGACGAAATTTTATTTTCTTTCAATACGAAAATGATCACATATCATCACAAACTGCCAATGTTTTTGCATTGTTATCTTAATACCAAGGTACTAGCTAGTGAGGGAGGGTCAGACGGACATAATTAGAAGTTTAGTTTCAGAAATAAGAAATTATGATTACTACGAGATCTGGGGTTCGAGCTTTCTATCAATGGGGCAGTCGGATATACTAACTAGTGAAAGCCATTCTTATGTATATTAAATTCTCTGTCTCTTAAAACAAATGAATTTGTTATATTGGTTTAGTTAAAATGAATTATTTTTCTGGGTTGAATTCTTTCAAGTTTCAACCAAAATGTAAGTGTTAGAACTACGAATGACCTTTTTCCTTGTTTTAGTAGGTGGCTAGCTAAGGAAAGTAATCATTTAGCATGATTTAGAAGCACAGGATAAGAAAAAGCCTGAAAGCATGCATGCAAAAATATTTGAGATGGACAGATACAAGAAGACATTCATGTTGAGTTGAACCCATAAAAAGTTTTTTATTTGATCTCTCCTGTCCCTGTTAACATTACGATATCTTTGGATTTTCTACATGTTTTACCATTAAAGTAAAGATTATAATGCATCCTCTTGGGGTCCAATCATTCCACAGTACAAGACCAGTTTCATTTGTCTTTGAGTCCGATCGGATTTTGGGTTTCAAAAGCGTGAAGACACAAAACACAAATGAAAGATGAAGCAAGTGAATAACATGATAAAGATGGACAAACTAGCCAGGTAGAAATTGATCCTTTAGATATATTAGTTCAACAAAATTAGTTCTTATTAATATAGACGATGAGAGTATGTAAGAAAGACGGTAAATCTAATGCCATAAATAGATATTTAATAAATCATCATTACTTATCCTTCATAAACTTGTTTTTTCCTTATATTTCAGTATGTAGAAAACCTCATCTTTTGGGATCAATTTATTTATTTATTTATTTTTGCTTCATTTGTTGTTCATAACAATCTTAAATAGTGACATCCCTGATAGATATTGCTAGTCACTCGGAATTTATTATCAAACTCTCGTTACAGAGAATCAAAATATCTAATAGTGAAAGAATAACTGACAATTACTAGTACCGTGGGAATACTTGTTTTTGAAGTGTATGATCTAATAGTAATAAGTAATGTAAACGGGATACAATACTCCACTAAAATTTACTAAATGATTCAAGTAGCAAAGTCAATTTTATTCTATACCACTACAAACTTTTGTAATAACTATTAGGGACTTCAACCATAAAGATGTGAAGAGAGATCCAAGAGAAAGAAAGAGAAGTAGAAGGTGTCAAAAGATGGCTGTTTTATGTTGTAATGTTTGGAATTGTGTGATGGACTCACATGAGGAGAAGTATATATAGCTAAAGGATTCTTGGTGGAAGGAAATTGATAAATGCAAGCTTACAAATGGATACCCGGGAATTCCGCTAATACTACACGGAATTTACTCTCCCCCTCTCAAGTCTCAACGGCTATCGTATGTATTTTTATGCATTTTCATCGTCATTTTTATAGTTTTCAACAACAACAATAATGATCATAATAATAATGATGATGTCCATTTTTGTACGTAGAATTGATTGTACTCCATTTATTTCAAAATGTAGGTCGTTTTAAATTTAGAGAATTATTTAAAAATGTATGTTGTTTTAAGATTTCGAGGCAAATTAAAGGTTAACTTCCCAACTTTGCCCCCAATAAATGGCGTTAATTACTTTTTATCTAGTCTTGATTATAGTTTCAAAACAATTAATGATGGGTAAAATAGATATTTAACACACAGATTAATTATTAAATGATTGTCTCCTTAATTTACGTGCAAAGTCTAAAGTGACTTATATTTTGAAATGGAGGGAGTAGCATTTTTGCACACAATATTGCAAGTGCCTATAAATTTTGCACACGATATTGATAGATTTAATGATCACACGTTCATAAGGAAATGATGGGGTTGAATGTAAACTTTTCCACCTCAAAATCCAGAAAAAAAACCCTATATATGGAGAAAATATTCAGTGCTTATATGAGGTGAAAATTTGGATTGCTGTGAATTAATTCACATCATTTCTTTTACTGTAAAATTTTATAATTTTTATTAAATCATAAATTTCTCACAAATATGTGAACTCTAGTTGGTCTTTTATTCTATAACTTCTAAGTTCACCGGCGCTTATCCCACACTCTGGGGTTTGTTGGTTTAAGTTGTATGGCATTCTGAAATCGAAATCGAGAGACGAAGTTCGCCAGATAATCTTCTGTAACTAAAAATGTGAAACCTTTTTTCAAACATTTATTTGAAATGGGTCCAAAGAACCAAATTAGAAGGAAAAACAAATATATATGTGTTAAAAGAATTCATGTATGCAGAAAAAGAGAGTTAATCTTATTTTGCAATAATCATTTCTGCCGCAAGGCAAAAGAAAAAGAGAGAAATTAACTCCTTATCTAAGTTAATTTTTAGGGAAAAAACCAAAAAACATTCTCCAAAAGACCCACATGATTGAGATTACCCATCACCAAATTGAAGAATGAAAAAAATTAAATTAAAAAATAAAGTAAATTACCAGTCTTGTCGTATTTAATTAGGCTCGTCACTTTGAGAAGAGAGTAGTTTAATTTTCCATAATTACATTGTTAGAATTATATTTTTAAGGGAAAAAAAAAACTAACAAATGGCCTAAGTGTGTGAAGTGTGAACAATGAGCCACATAGTAAAACCGAGTTTTTTTTTTCTTAAATAAGCCCTATTCATCAATCTATTTCCATGAGTAACCTTAATTGAAATCAAATTCTTTGCATAACCTTTTGGACGGAATCAGTTATTTTTCTCTCTCAAAAAAAAAAAGAAAAAATCCTCTTCTACCCCTCCCTCCCAACCAAGTTCTTGTCCGGCACAAAGTGCTCAACCAATGACCTAATGTTGAGCATAAATTGCTCACTTCAATCGTGTCTGACAGTCTAATAGCGGTGAATAATCCAAAAAATAATTAGTTAACTAAGTTTTGATTTTTTTTTATCTCCTTTTAATCTCTAATTATTTTCGATTTTCCACTCCAATTTTTTCCTCTTTGGCCGCGAAAGAATTCTTGGCAGCAACAAACATTGAAATTTTTTCCTCTTTGGCCGCAAAAGAACTCTTGGCAGCAACAAACTTTGAGTAGAGGTCTACGGCGGAGTTTTTCCATGAGTAGTGACTAGAAATTTCTTTTTTTTTAATACTTTAAACCTCTGTGGTCTAAACCCAGATTACAAGTCAGTGACTATATTTTCACCTCATTGCCTTTATTTGGATAAATAATTTTGTTTTATGGGATGAGAATCACTTCATAATATTTCCACAGTCGATTAATTTTATTGATATTTATGCTTCTTTGGTCTAATCTGA